TTGTACTACCTACTGCAACAAAGCACATGACCATAAAACACACACACACACACACACACACACACACACACACACACACACACACAGAGTCAATTTTTTTTCATTGTTAACCGGTTTTTTAGCCAAATAAAAGCATGTGGACTTCGGATGTATAATATTAAGCAAAGCCACACAATCGCAGAAAGAAAATAAAAAAGCATGTTCTTTCTCATATGCAGAATCTAGCCAATAATATATGTATCTATGTAAACAAATGTACATGTCGGTACAGTGTAGCATGAAGAAAAGTGAACAGGAAAGGCTAAATATAAGGGGACGAGGAGGGACTGAATGTAAGTGACGGACATGAGTTATGAAAGAGGATCTAAAGCGAAGTGTTTTTCTAGTTCTAATTCTGTCCTGGGCTTTTTGGTTTGGGTGGTGGATAAGTACATAAAATATAGTTGATATTTAAAGTGTAAAATTCAATGTGAAGCTCCACAGTGTCTGTTCCATGCCTCTTCTAACTGTATAGAAGTCATTAAGTTGTGTCGACCTTGGGTCTGGTTAATTTTGATGTGTGATGTCTTTATTTGTTTTCATTTTTGTAATAAAGTCCATTAAAAACATAAAAACATGTTGCATCTCCTTGTGTGCTAGGTCTGTGTGATGGGTACCAAAGTTATAATAATAGGGGTGTCAGGAACTGGGGTCTAAGAGATCCCCGCAGTTTTAACTAAAATTCTCACTCTAAACAGGAATGTGCTAAATGGGGGATAGTTTGATGAAGTTCTTCATACCACAATGTAAATGACTGGACTATGATAACCCTCAGAAGAGAAGCTGGGCTGGCTCATTTCATGTCCACTTGACACAAGCTAGAGTCATCAGAGAGGAGGGAACCTCAGCTGAGAAAATGCCTCCATAAGATCCAATTGTTGGGCATTTTCTGAATTAGTGGTTGATGTTGGAGGCAGCCCATTGAGGATAGGACCACCCCTGGATGGTAGTCCTGGATTCTACAAGAAAGCAGGCCGAGTGAGCCATGAGGAGCAAGTCTGTAAGCAGCATTCCTCCACAGCCTCTGCATCAGCCTCTTCCTCCAGGTTCCTGCTCTGTTTGAGTTCCTGTCTTCTTCAGTGGTGAACAATGATGGGGAAGTGTAAGCCAAAGAAACCTTTTCCTCCCATAGTTGTTTTTGGTCATGGTGTTTCATCACAGCAACAGTAACCGTAATTAGGACAGAAATGGATACCAGAAGTGGGGTAGTGCTGTGACAGACCTGACCATGTTGTCACTTTGGAACTTTAGCCACTGAGTGTTGAGGGCTCAGTGAGTTCTGTGCTACTGATTTGTTATGCTGGACATGAGGCACATTCCAATTATCCGGGCACTGGGATGGCTGAGGAAAGAGGACTGTCATGGGTCTGATGATCAGCTTGGGCCACATGAGCAGCTCCAGGCCAACCTGAAAGTATTCATTACATTTTTGTTAGTGTTCTAAAACACCATGGCCAAGACATCTTAAGGAAGAAAGAGTTTATTTGGGCTTATGGTTCAGGAAGGATGAGTCCATCATGGTGCAGAGGCGTGACAGCAGGTGGCAGGCCCAGCAACAGGAACAAAAAGCGAGGGTGGGGGATGGGGGTGGGAGATTCTCAAAGCCACCCCTAGTGACATACTTCCTCCAGTAAGGCCACACCTCCTAATCTGCTCAAACATCACCATCAACTGGAAGTCAAGTGTTCAAATGCCTGAGACAGTAGAAGACATTTATCATTCTAACCAAGGCACTGGGCTACATTTAAGCCTTTGGTGCTTTGGGACCAAACAGAACAGTACCTCAAGTTCTACCTATCCTTTCTACTTACAAAATGCCTAGATACATCACATGCCCTAAGCAGAGTGCTATGTTAGCATCCCTCTGGGGTTTCCTCTTTATGCCCTCTGTAGGCCTTCTTGGCATCACTCTGGGTAGTTAGCAATTGTCTAGCACTTTGCAGCTCCTGCACTCAGTCTCTACAGACTCAACTTCAGCATCCCTGCAGTACGGAGAGGAAGTAGGAGGACTGAATATTTTTGCTTTAAGGGAAGGAGGGCTGCTCTGGCTAGAAGACTTCAAGCTATCTACAGGCAGCAGCTAAGCAGGTTGATCTCCGTGAGAGCTGTGTGCTGTATATAGATTAGATTAGGAGTCACAGTATTCTTGCCCACGTTGAGTATTCACACAGTTATGGAAGTGGATTTTATAGCAGGCAGCTGCTCCACACTGTATGGGGAAAAAAAAAAAATCTATATAAGGGAAGTGTGCTTATCAATATTAAACAGGAAGGGCTGAGAGGGTGATGCCCTGGTAGGGCCCTGGGTTCAATCCCAGCCCTGAAAAAAGAAAGACAGCAAACACGCTGGAAATTTGTGACAGAGTCTATATCCAAACCTAGTTTATAGACCTGAGCCAGCCAACATATTCAAGGTCAAAAGTCTAGTGGTAATACTAAGTCTTGAATGCTCCTCCAGTTCCCAGATGTTCTCCTACTACAGCCCTCCTCGGCCACAGCTGGAACATCCTTCCACATGCCTGTTGGAAGGCCATCCTGTTTACGGATTCAACAATACCTTCAACTACACTCATCTTGAGTGGGGGGCCAAGGGCTGCTTTGGGGAAAGGAGAAAATGAAACAACCTGATTTCCTGGGTCTTCTGTCTCTTAGCCCTGTCAGCCTTCCTTCCAGCTTAATTGAGAGAGAGAGAGAGAGAGAGAGAGAGAGAGAGAGAGAGAATGTGCGTGCATGCACATATGTAGCAACCAGAGGACTGTTTCAGGTGATATTCTTCAGGTACTATTCACCACCTCTTATGAGACAGGATCTCTCTCCGGCTCAGAACTCACCAACTAGATCAGGCTGTCTGGCCAGCAAGCCCCAGGGACCCGCCTATCTCCACCTCTCCAGTGGTGGGATTACAAGGGCATTCCATCATCCCTGCCTTTTTTGTGCAGGTTCTGGGGGTTGAACTCAAGTCTTTATGCCTGCAAAGCAAGCTCTTAAGCAACTGGTCCAACTCCCCAGGCCTGGACCTGAGTTTCCACTACTTGCTCTGACCAGTCTTTCTTTCTGGCCACACGTTATCACTGTCTCGCTATTTTCACTTTAGTTTCCCTCCTGCTGGGGAAATCCTTGCCCTTTACCCTGCTGTTTCTCCTCCACCTCCTCTCATCTGCCTAGGGCTTCATCCGACCCTCCCAGCCCTCTGCTCTTCACCACGTCCTACCTCCTCCCTCCCTTCAGCTTCTCTCAGAACAGTGGCTCCTGAATTCTTATCTCCACCAAAACTGGGTGGCTTTTCACTCTCTCTCCTGAAGGAGGGTGGGGGGGGGAGCCGTGAAAGCCCCAAATGCCATCTTTCATCTTATTTCCTATTTTCAGCATATTTTCTATTTATAATTCTGCCTCCCTCGTAGCAGATTGACACAGCACTCTGTGTGGCTCCCAGAATAAATGCAATTCAAGAATGAGAGGCAAGTCCAGCTCCAGGGACTCTCTGCAGCCAGGTGTTTGTTAGAATTCTTTCTGCCAGGGTTCAGTGAGCATCTCTGTGGTACTTATGCCTGTCTTCCAGGGTCCTGGAAACTCCTCCTGTGCAAGGTTTTCTTTCTTCCTGGCAGATTTCCTTTCCTGATCATGTCTGGACCAAGCTTATATTAAAGATGGTTTTTATTCCTCAAGCATGCATTGACTGCTCCATTAAAGGGTCTTCTTTGGCATATGTATATGTGTGGTATGCATGTATGTTTATTCATGTGTACATGCATGCGTGTGAGTACACAGGTGTGTGCAGGTCATTCACTCATGTGTGCATGTACATGGATATTGTTTGTTTTTGGTCTTTTGGGGGACCCGCCACCCAGCTCCCAAATACATCATACATGGAGGCTTATTCTTTGTCGAGTGAACAGATGAATATCGAATACTGGTATATTAAATATTAAGTCATGAACTGAGTTAGTGTGCCACTATTGGGAATTGTAGTTAATCCACAAAGTGGACCACGTGAGCAAAGTCACGTTTTTAAATTAAGAGCCAAGTTCACATGACACCGAAAATTTCTAATGTTTTCCTCACCAAATAATTTTACAGTCTGAAGGAAGGTACAACGGTGCAGAGTACCTTCCACTTTAAGAAACATGCTTTGCCTCAATGATTCTATTCACTCCACAACCTCTGCACAGAGTATGAGCGTGCCTGCTTCCTATGCATAAAACTGGGGTTAGAGCAGGTGAACAACTTCTCTTTATAATATGAGCAATAAGGGGTACAAATGGATCCAGCTGAACTTTATCCAATGTCAAAGCTCACTTCAAAGGCCGAAAGAGGGCTTGAAGCCTTTGAACAGTGTCAGAGGCAGCATGGGCCGTTCATATCTGTGGTGTTCTCTGTCCCTTGACTATTTCTTCTCTGGGTGGCACAAAGAGGGTGATCAAACAGTTATTTGTTGAATTAAACTACTATATGAGCCATCTTTTTTACTGGGCATTATGAATATGAATTGTCCCCCATGGGTACATGTGTTAAATGTTTGGTCCCAGCACTGTTGTGGAAGGCTCTAGAAACTGTAGACAGTAGGGCTTGGTTGGAGGAAATTAAAAAGAACCATGTCTTCAAAATATACAATCTTGCCTTGTCCTCTATTTCTCTTTGCTTCCTGTCCACCATGAGGTCAATAGCCTCCTCATACACACACACACACACACACACACACACACACACACACACACACACACTGCTGAGACTGATGTTCAGCCTTACCAGATCCATGTTACCATGGCTTACTCTTTGAAACCATGAACTAAAATAAACATTTCCCCCCAGTAAGTTCCTCTGTCGGATATTTTGTCAAGAGGTGCAAAGCCTCCTATTCCTAGTAATATTCTAATATCCAAGGCTCGATGTCAACACTTTAGAAAAAAAAGTGTCAACCTGGGTTTCTGTAATATGACGCGTTTGTCATTATGCCAACAACTATAAAACACAAGTTTTTATATTTTAATGGAGGAGAAGCTCACAAATGCAAAAGTAGTTAGGACCCACAAAAACCATAATGTGGCCCTGGTCACTTAACCTGTATCAATTTCATAGAGTCATAGTTTCCAAGCCTTTCCATGAAACCGTTGAGATGAATTATGGACCAAAATGTCTGTTTCCTCTTTCTGCTGCTGAGTAAACAGCAAGACATTAGAATCTGAACCAGCGGCAGAAAAGCAGGCCGTCCGGGTTCATCCGAGGAAGGCTATCTGATAGGAACACAGGAGCCAATGCCTCCGGTCTTCGAGGAAAGCAAACGTGGGATGATACACGGAGAACTAGGGGAAACACCGTAGTCTCTGGACCAGGCCCCCGAGGAAGACGGCGTATTTTGTGGGCAGATCCTGGTGTTTTGAGGCGAACCCGACTCAGGTGGCTGCAGAGGCAGGCAGGCACCAGGAGCATCTCTTCTGCGTTTGGGGCTACGGTGAGCAGAGAACGTTTGCAGAAACCGCCTTGTTCGGTAGCATCCTCTCCATGGTAATGCGAGTTGTTCCTTTCATTGCTCTCTGATGCGTAGCTTTAATTGTATCTTTGCTTTTATGCAGAGAATAGACTCGTGTTCCCAGGAGGATGGCTGGGAAAACCCACTGCCAGTGTGGAATACAAATCGAGGCTTGCAGAAATCACTCTGAGAAGGCGCAGGAAGAGATGAGCAAAGACAACCGTCTCCAAAGATCTGGAGTTTAGACCTGGAGAGGTCACTGTCCCTCTTATCCTAAAGAAGATAAATAGAAGTGAGTGACATTATTACTAGATAGATGAAGAAATTGCTTTGGGTGGAGAGTTTGGATGTTGATCCTCCAAAACGTTCTCCCTCCCCCACTCCAGAGCTTCTCCAGTTCTGAGTCATCTAATACATAAGAACCTGATTTTTTTTATCCATATTAATGGACATTTCTACACAATTAAGACCATACTGTATAGACATTTTGTAACCTGTCCTTTTCAGTGAATGTTCCAGCTTATCAGCCTTGTGGGGAGAGGAGGCATTGCAGTAGAATGCAGGCATTTTCCAGCTGAGGAAGCATCAGACAGGGGCTCCAGCAATTGGCACTCAGGCTCCCAGGAATGGGAATTGTCCCAACCTATCTGGGCTAGGCTTCACCGGGGAAGCCTAAAGCAGCAATTGGTTCTGGGAGGTAGAACTAAGGGGTCGGGGAGTGAGGGTCTTGTTAAATCTCTTTAACTTTTTGTATTTTCCAAAACGGCACAACAAACCAGGATCACTTTCATCATCGGAAAAACTATTTTAAACATTTCTTTCTGCTGCTGCATCTGAGTCAGCTGCAAAGATCAACGCACCCATTTCTCACAGTCCCCATGTGAGAAAGGGAGCAATCACCATGGAAGGTCATGTGTGTGCTGGCCCAGGACAGGTTACAATGTAAGCAGCCCACACCTGGGATGTTCTCAGAGAAAGAATATTCATTCATCTTGTTTGTGAGCATAACCCCCCCCCCCATTTCAGGAGTCACTGAGAACAGATTTGGGCCCAAGTCTTCCTGAATCATCTAAAGGGGGCTAAGATAACTTTTCTTTCCATTCTGTTCACTTAGAGGCATTCATTAGGCACCGGAGAACCAGTACTTAGAGAACGAAATGAATTTAGGGGTCCACAAAAGTGTGTTTATGCATAACACTTATTTACTTGTCACATCAACACAGTAGTCAAAGATGAATTTTTATATTCTTAATGAAAGGGAGACCTATGAGGGCATAAGTGCCGGAACCCACAAAAAAACATAATGTGACTGGGTCATTTAGCCTGTTTGTAGCTTCAGTGATTGCAAGCTCTTCTGTAAAATCATTCAGGTGGATTGCACGCCTTCCATCCCTCCCCTTCCCTCCTCTTCCCTCCCCTCCCCTCCCTCATCACTCGGGCACACTGAAAACCTGAGCAGGAATTTTTTTTTTTTTTTTGCCATGAAAATAACCAGAATCAGGGTTGCACTCAGACCTCCACAGCACAAGCAGACAGATGGGCCTGTATTTAGCAACAGTCAGAAAGAATTGCTGTTTTAATTACCCCTACAAATAACCATTACCGCATCAGATGGATAGGAAGCAGTAACTCCAGACAGTGGCTTGGCATGTACCCCTTCTCCTAGGAACGATTTCCCCCTCGTTCCATAGGAGACTCTTTATGAAATGCGAGTGTCCCCTTTCAAAATTCCAGTCCCTTCTTTTCAAATTAGAGTTATAAATAAGTAAATACAATTTGCAAACCATTTGATTACATCCCTGTGCTTTCCCAAGATTCCCGAAGGAGGCACTTATACCAATTTTACTTCATTAAATATTTAAATAAAAACTCACTGAAGTGAATCATGGGACAAAGAGGCATTTATTAAGCACGGCTTGGGCACAGTGTGGCACTAGGCTTTAGACCCAGGGACAAGTGGAACACTGGCTCCCTGCAGACCAGCAGCAGGATAGTGAGGCAGAGTCCCAGAGGAAGGCGATATTGGTTTCCAGGGAGGAAGACAATCCAGAAACCATCCATTTTAATGAGAATTCCTTATTCAGCAGCAACACATAGACAGAACTTCTTCTGGCACCAGAACTTAAACGGAACTAAGCGTCTGAACAGCAAAATTCATATCACAGGGTCCATGATTTGCTCAGTTCTGAACCACCAAAGAACCATCTCTGAGTTCAGGTCCCCTCAAAAAAATTCTGGTACAAAAGAATTAATTTAAATTCACTTTGCTTAGGAAACTCATAATTTTCACGGGTAAACATTTGCTGAGTGTGGAACTATGCCAAGAGAATGTAGAAACACAGAAAATAGTAGACATAAATAGATCACCACACTGTAGGGCATCCATCCACACTGAATGGCAAAGGAGTGATCCCAACAGCCAGCTCTGAATTAGGAGCCCAGAGAAGAGAGAATTCTCCTGTGGCAGTGGGGATCCAGTAAGGAGCATATGGTACACTCAAGAAAGCTTAGCTGGGCCAGAGAGATGACTCAGTGGTTAAGAGCACTGGCTGCTCTTCCAGAGGACCTGGGTTCAATTCCCAGCACCCACTTAGCATGGGTCAGCGGTTACAATCACCTGTAACTCCAGTTCCAGAGGATCTAACGCCTTCTTCTGGCCTCTGTGGACACCAAGTACACATATGATACACTGACATACATCCAGACAAAACATGTATGCACATACAAATAACGTAAACATTAAAAAAATCTTTTAAAAGGAAAGTTTAGCTAAGAAAATATTTACTGAGGACTGGCGGAGTTTACTAAACTGATCACAGTGGTAAACCCAAGGACCAGCAGTTGTGGGAAATTGTTGCTATCCCTAGACCTAGGAAGGCAAGCAGTAAGTAAAACCAGTGAACTACAACCCCTGAGGAAACAGTACTTCTGGGGCCTATCAGAATTGCATGTCAAGCCAGATATGGCAGAGCACGCCTTTAATCCCAGCACTCGGGAGGCAGAGGCAGCTGGATCCCTGAATTCAAGGCCAGCCTGGTCTACAGAATGAGTTCCAGGACAGCCAAGGCTACACAGAGAAACCCTGACTCAAAAAACTAAAAAACCAATGAACAAAGAGAATTGCATGTCGCTTGGAGTGAAGATCCTTACCTGTAAACCCAACACCCCAAAGACTGAGGCTGGAGACTCATGAGCATGAAGCCAGCCTGGTCTGCATGGTGAAAGGCCATCTGAAAGTCAATAAATCCACAAGCAAAGGTAGGTGAATGGTGAGTGGAAGAAGAGGCGCTACATTGGAGCGGATGCTGGACATCCAAGGCAGGAGGCTTGGGTTCAGAGCTGGGGGAAAACACCTATTATTTCCTTCCATAGGCCAAACTCACCAGACACTGAAGACCATCAGAGCCCAGAAGCTGCCATCCTGATACACAGGCTAAGACAGAGCCGACTCAAGAGTGGGCTTAAAGGGACAAAGAAGACCAACCCAACACACAGTGTGGCGATGCTGCTGTGTATGGACTTTAAGAGAATGGAAAGATTTACTGGCATGAAAAGGAAAACGGAAGCTATCTCAGGCAGAGGTAGCTTTTGTGAGTATAGAAAACTGGGCTTTTTTATCTATATAAAGAGAGGGGTAAGTATGTGCAGAAGGCATTTCCTGAAGTAGAATCAGGCTGTGGCATCAAGGGGTGTGGAGGAAGGGACGTAGACCATGGTTTCTCCATCTTGACACAGCTGATAAGTCTTTGTTCCGAGGGCTAACCTGTGCTCTATAGGATGGTTATCAGCATCCCTGGCCTCTGCTAACCATTTGGTAACAGCAGCTCACAGCCAGTTGTGATAACCAGAAATGTGATCATATGTCACCCAAAGGGACACAAAACTGCCCTCAGGAAGAACCGCTAGGAAAGGAAAAGGACCATGATCAGAAAACTGTTTCACTTGACGTGAAATCTGAGTGCAAACATGAGAAGCTAAAGGCTTAGATCAGTGTGGAGCAGAAGGACCAGCAGGAAAAGGACAATGGTCCAGGTTCGATTACAGACAGGGAAGGATGTCAGGTTGACTTTTTAGTATGTCATGGGTAATAGGACAAATACATCTCCACTAGCACACTGGAATTGTCTGGGGCAATTGGCCTGAGGAAAAACTATGCATCCTCTGTGGACTTGGGATCTGAGATGCTAGACACAGGACTGAGATTTGAAGAGGGAAGTGGGACCAAGGTACAGATTTGAATCATCTATACAGAGACAGCTAGAAAAACCTCTCTCCGCATGAAGAAAGGATTAGAGTTCTTGCAGAGGGAAGGTGGAGAAGACTGAAGAGGGTGTTTCATTTTATTTTATTCTTTCTTTTCCTGGGGAGGGGGAGGGAGTGTTGTGCATATTTAGAAGATGAATAATGTGAGATAGGAATAGAAAGTCTGGGGGCAGGAAAAGCAGGCAGTTTTCTGAGGGATGGTAGTGGCTGAAGTCCAGCTCCTGCCCCACTTGCTGAGCCATATGCTGAGGCCGTGTCTGCCTTGGGACCACCTTGTCCCTTGTAAGTAAAGGTATCATATAGGCCAGGGCAGTTCTTCAGAAAGTCAAATCAACTGCAAAAGAAAAAAATCACAAAGAGCCACATCCATATCCTGCATCCCACTGTGGTACTTAGTAACACACACACACACACACACACACACACACACACACACACACACACACACACGTTTCAGGTCCTTAAGCAGATTCTGATTAGGTGGCTATTCTCATTTATGAGGATCACTCTGCTTTTCCTAACTAGTTCTAGAAGGATCTCAAGAAATGGCTGCCCAAGGAGATATGAGGAGGGAAAGGCGATCCAGGACCACTCATGGTAGCTGTGTCTGCTGTCTTGAGGGTCCTGAGTCTCTGGAGAAAGATGATGGATCTCTTTGTGTCACCCTACCAAGAGGCATGCTGTGATAGGCAGAATTCTAAGGTCCTGCCACAGTTTGTGTCTGCTGTGGTATATGTTCAACTACATTGTCATCCATTTGAGTGTGGGGGCATCCGTGAATTTAGTGGAGCATCACTCCTCTGATGTTTATGTGCCAGACGGGAATTTGCAAATGTGATGATGGTCCCCAACCAGTTGACTTGGAATTATCCAAAAGAAGGATCATTCCAGTTGGCCTGATTTCATCCTGTGAGCCTTTTAAAAAGGCAAGAAGAAATAGAAGATGCCTCTGGTAGACTGGAAAACAAAAGCAACAGCCAGGCTGTGACTTCTGTGAGAAGAGCATGTCA